TCTTGCCGAACCTTTCTCTTAGTATAAAGCCAGCTGGGCGTGTCACCTTTGAGAATGCTTTCTCGACGTTTGATGGCTTTACTAATGCTTTTTTCATTGAGGTTAACTAGTTTCCCTAAGGATCTTTTCGCTCTTGACTTCTTAATATTTTCTCCAAAAGCCAAAGATTTAAATGCGGTAAATGCTGCTCTCTTTTCGTTTGACCCTGAAGCCTTGACTTTGTCAAGTCCGCTGGAAATGTCAGAAGCTAATGCTTTGAGCGTAGCTACCTCTCTTTGTTCCTCTGGTGTAGTAACCACTCCCCTCTTTTCCAGCTGTTTTCTTGTTCTCGGGCTACTTACTAAGCTTTCTAGAACAGCTGCCTTTTTGGCTGGTGAAGCTGGGAGGGTAGTTTTCACCTTATCAGTCGCGCGTTTTCTCGACGTCCTGTTCGGAAATGCGGCGCCCCAGCCCAGAATTTCTTCCACATTGCTCTCCTGTCTCCGTCTTTCACGATATTTTCGGACTCTCTCTCTTGTCTGTTCTCTGATTAAAGCTCTCTTGGCTTGAACAGAATCTCGGATAGACCGCCTTTTTTCCTTGATCTGGTCTTTCTCCTGGTCGCGCTTGAGTTCGCGTCTAGTCCTGGAAGGTCGCGTGGGAAGCTCTCATTTCTCTTGCCTTCTTTGTTTGACTTGAGCGATCTTTTTCTCGCGATTCTGAAGATAATATGCTCTATCTAGCTCTCTTTTCTTTTGCAGCTTTCTCTCTTGAGCTGCTTTCTTGCGTGAAATTAGAATATTGTCCTTTGATATTGTTTCTTCCATTCGCACTCTCGACCTTTTGCCTTTACGAGTGACTAATCGCACGTGTCTGAAGGTTTTCTTTCTTGCTATTTTTAAACCAATGACGACAGAAACCCTGAGAAACAAACCGGGACACCCCCAAGCTAATTCTATAAGCATGTGACTGATATGCGAGAAACAGGCGAACGGAGAAGGTTGCGAGTTGCGCTGAATTTCCTCACGGTTTTGTAGATTCCTTCCTGAGTTACGCTTTGTGAACACGGTCATCATTGCGAAAAGTGTTTCCGAATTGCTCATTAGCGAATATCTCGCTTCATATCAGCTAGAAATGGCTAGAAATCTGGGGAAATTTGGATGATTCTAAGCCCAAACCGGGAGTAACGAGTGAGTACCGTTCATTGTACTGGTTCAAGAAATTTGTCCTGTTTATCTGTGCTACCCAGAGGCAGTTTGAAGTTATTTTGTTCATTACAAAAAGTGTTTCCGAATTGTACTTTCTACTCCCGAGCGAATTCTATTCTAATTATTACGCTGAACTTTTGTGTCTAGCTCCTTTCAACATTGCCCAACACAGTGCTGTTGTCGGTTTGTAGTGTTTATTTCATTGTCAACCTTGAATGTGAACTTTATTTTTTGGTGCCGCGGACAAATTTGTAAGCGTTGCACACAGCAACAGCTAGTTCTTCAATCACTTTTGGTTTCATTTTTACTGTGTGAAATAAAAATTATTCTTTGAAACTTGAGTTGTCAATTTGTTTTAGTTGGGTGTATTGTGAGACAGAATTATTTAACCGTAGCTACTGTACGTTGCGAGAAAAAACACATTTTCTAAACTTTTGCCGGTATTTGCAGCGCTATTTCTGTAACGCGTTACAACCACATTTTGGGGTATTCATTAAATTTATTATTTTTTCCCGTTTTAGTCTTGCTTGTGAATGTTGGTATTTTATATCAGTTAGAATTGGTGGTGTTTTCTTTCTTTAACTAGAAAATTTCAGAAAAATGCGTTGAATACTTCTCGAGTTAGTTGGACTTAAAGTCCTCTGGGTATGATATCTGGCTAAATGGAGGGGTGATTGTGCTACGCATCTGACCAGTTTCCACCGTCACGGGAAAACTGTTCCTTTCAAGATCAAAGCTGCTAACCACTGTCGTTGGGTGATCATGACTACCATCGAGAGGTTCCAGGTCAATGGTGATGGAATACTTCATTTGCAGGTTGGCGTTTTAACAAAGGAAACAATTTTCATTGTCCAGCCTGGCCGCTATCTCGTCAGAATAGTTTTGTATAGAGAACATAGCAGTGTTGCCATATATTGCCTAAGGCAAGATGTTTGAACCGAGATGTATGAACCTGTCTATCTCTTTATCTATCCTTTTCATCTTTATCTATCTATCTATCAATCTATTTGTCTATTTATCTTTTATCCACAAGGCTTTTCATAACCGTGTAAGTATTTAATATGAATGTACCAATTGAAAGAATGCCCTATGCAGCAAATGAACTGTACGTGTTTCCCTGATTCCCTCACCTAGGAAGGGTAATGTTTGCTCTATTCTCTGAAGTATATGATTATAGACCATTTATGAATGAAACCTGCAAAGCCGAAAATGTTGTGTGAAGAGAATGAACTTGCCCTTGCGGGAGCATGTGTTAAAATGAGACAATGAAATTGTCATAGAAGTACAAGAGCGTAGAGAATCAAATTCTGGGCAAGTGCAGTGGCAAGGTCCTTTCTCTTTCATTTTGCTCTAAGTTTTAAAACTCTCTCATATTTAATAGAGTAGTTATTTTATTTTTTGTTCGTATTAGTTAAATCAATAAACTGTAACCACAATTACTACCTTAGCAAAGACATTCATAGTACATTGAAACATGTTTAAAATAAAATCTCTAAAAAAAGTTATTTTTATCAAGGCCGAGTGCAGTCCATCTGACTTGTTTGATAAAGGCTTAATACAGCTTTGGGTTGAATAAAAAACAAGGTTCAAATATCAAATTCCATACTGATTAATCCACAGCAAAGCATTTGCGAGTTTGTTAAAATGCAAACCAAAATAATCAAAGTCTATCGCGTTTCCATTGTCTCTTGTTGATGGGCCAAACTGTCATACGATGGTTTCTACAAATGGTTGGCTCTTTTCTGCAATGATTTTCACCCAGACACCAAATGTCCATCCTCTCTGATTGTTTTTCTGAATGGAGCTCCAAGAACAGGTGAAGACTGTAACAGTTGTGGTGGGTGTATTTCTGCTGTTTTAAAATGGCTTGTTGTGGGCGAGAACGATGCAATTTTATTGTTGGGCGATATCTCAAACTTGCCCGACTAGTTGCACTCCAGTGACTGTAAAGCAGCAACCACGAAAATGGTTTGCACAATCTTTGCAGAATTCTTTAATTTGAAGCAATTGAAGGCAGATGTATTGAGGTTGTATAACTTGTTGACATCCCCTTTGTCGTCACTGTCTATGATACGCTTCCGCTTTGTGCGAACATTCCTTGGAATCCATGGCTGACGCTATGGAGAGGGCATCATTGAAATGTGACTCTGACCTTTTCGAATGCAGCCCTTGCAATGACGGAGATTGGCAACAAAAGTCTTAATCGTTTGTTTTTCAGATGGAAAAGATATCTTCATTCAGTCTCTTGTTTCCCTCTTTCGTTGTCCCACCCAAGTACGATAGTCGCACGCTATTAGCGGTGGTCATACGGTCCCAGGGTGCATCCTCTGTATTTCTTTCATGTTCTCCTCATAGTCTTCATTCAGCACATGTAGTTTCAAGCTATTCATCTTTCTCATGCAATTCTTCATCACGCACAAAAGACATGCTAACAGCAGTTCTCGGTGCAAGTCCCCATTGTTGTTATTGTCTAGATATGCATACATCATCTTCAACATCAACATAATCTGCCCGAGACTCGCGGTCATGGATAGGAATAGGGTATCTTCTTCCATTCCCTCTGCACCTTGACCGCTTTCCACGGTCACGGTAAAACTGTTCCTTTCAAGATCAAAGCTGCTAACCACTGTCGTTGGGTGATCCTGACTACCATAGAGAGGTTCCAGGCCAATAGTGATGGAATACTTCATTTGCAGGTTGGCGTTTCAACAAAGGAAACAATTTTCATTGTCCAGCCTGGCCGCTTTCTCGTCAGAATAGTTTTGTGTAGAGAACATATCAGTGTTGCCATATATGGCCTAATGCAAGATGTTTGAACTGTCCTTATTTTCTACTATAACCAGTTTATGAATAAGCACACTTTTCCTTTAATTTGCTTGTACAAGAGGTCATAAGAGGTCATAAGCAGGTTTCCTAATGTTATAGCCATCTAAGTGACATTTGTTCGCAATATTTTAAAATTATTTATAACCCTTGTAACTACCATAAGGAACAAATTCCCTACTTTTCATAACCTTCAACTCGTGAAATCCGTACCCTTTCATATATCTGAAGAATAGGTACCCCTTTCAGACAGGATTAATTTTTTTCTCAACCTTTTAATGCTCATGTCTATTTTATTGAAAGACGGTCATAAGTGTCAATATATAGTATTTGGTTTCCTTTTGTAGATACAAGGATATGAGCCAGGGTTTTTAATGAACTCAAGGTCAATTTTCCAAGCATTGATGCTGCAGAAGAGCATTACAACTTGACTTTGAGCAACTATGTAGAGGTGATGGAGGGAACTCTAGATACTGGAGGAAGAGGTCTTGTTGAATCCCCACGCAGACTTGTGGATAAAGTTACTTGCCCTTTAAAGATCCAGTGTAAAACTATACAAGTAGTACCAGGGCACCAACATCCTATCTTGACTTCCGCACAATTTCATCTATTGAAGAGTCAAAGTTGAGTGAACTTGCAAACTTGGCATTTCTTGAACTTGCAACCAGAAATGGAAGTGACACCAATCCAGCAGATTTTGCTACATTGGCTGCGAAAGGAATGAAAACCCTCAAAAACCACATCAAAGGCAATCTGATTTACAAGTTTGCTATGTGTATTGCCGAAACACGCCCTAGTACTGGACAGTCGCTCTTCCCACTTGACCGGATGCCATCTGGCCTGGTGGAATTCCAGATAGAATTCTTTTCTGCCACTAATATTATGGGGGTGGGTTTATTGTCAGATGAATTTACAAATGTATAGCTGGCACTATACAATTTCTCTAATCAAGAATCCATGGTCAGGAGAAATGTTGTGTTTATGGCCTGTGGTACTTTGGTTGTTGCACATATGTACAAGTATTTGCCTCTCAGCCTGTACTAAATGAATAACAGAAAATTGTGAAAGTTTATTAATTATGATGCTGTATATGTTCTTGTAATTTAGATATCAGTGCCAGAAGATTACCAGATCTGGTATGAAACAATGTGTGCCAAGTTCCCATCCAGGCTATGTATAATTGGTTTCAGAGCATCAATCTTGTCTAAGTTTTCAGTCAGACAAAGCCCTAAAAACCTTAAGTTCCTCCTCTGGTACAAAATGGGAAAACCCTATTTGCTAAAAAGCACCATGTAAGACATGCAAGGTCAAAATTTGGTTCTTCTTTCATTTACTACCGTGCAGTTCTCCAAGAGGCGTCTGTTTTGGTGGCCATGGCGATTAGAACAATAATTTGGGGACTAAACTTGTAGCAAAAGTCACCAATTTGGCCACCTGTGTTCGGCCATCATGTGCAAAGTGGTCTTTTTCAAACAGTATTTCACGTATGGTTATTGACATAAGTAAGCATCAACAAAACTTGAGCTTGGAGCACTGCAGTGTATGTGATTTTTATCTCCTTGTTTTGTCCCCTTGTTTGATTGCTTTTCTTGGGATAATGATATATAATGTATTTTAAAAGAGATGTAACGTTTGGATTATCAAGATGTATAAATATTAACGAATAATGCTTTGCTTACAAGGCCACACCCAATGTTGCTGCACCCAGTATTAGAACTGTCCAGAAGAACAATGCTTTCCCTGCATTCTAAGGCAAACCAGAAATACAGGTATTTAATGCTACTACTTTGAAAAACAAATATTGTAGGTACTGATGAAATATTTCTTTCAAAATGTTGCCTGTCTCCAGTAGAATTTTGGAAGGGTAGATACATTTTCAACTTTTTTTCACATGTTTTAAGTGAAATGTAATATTTAGTCTTTGAACGTGTCATAATATCTGCTGTTCAGATATCCTAAACGATATCTCCTTCTTTATTTGTCCTATAGATTGAGGCTCTGAAACAGTTAAAAGTTTCCAATCCCAAGGGAAGATTTTGGATAAAGGTAGATGCCCTCGACATCAAGGTTGCTTTCCAAGACAGGGGCGGATCCAGGATTTTTTTAGGAGGGGGTGCACTCGTCTCTTGCTCTACTTCAACACCAATAAACCACATAGTTTTTTTTTGCAGAATACCAGTTTTATCAGAAAACCTCAGGTCATCTCGGGGGGGGGGGGGGGCACCCCCCCTGCCCCCCCCCCCTAACTCACCCCCTGCAAGGGTCAGAAAAGGGGCAGTCCAAGGGCCCTTTCCATTTTTTTTCTTTTCCCAAATAGGCAAATGGTATGAAGGGCAGTATTTTTTTTAACCTTACAGTTTTATCAGAAAACCTCAGGTCATCTCGGGGGGGGGGGGTGCACACCCCCTGCACCCCCCCCCTAGATCACCCCCTCCAAGAGGCATTAAAGGGTCAATGCAATGGCACTTTCCATTTGTACTCTTTTCCCAAATAGGACATTGGTATGAAGTGCAGTACTTTTATCAACCTTATCAGTTTTGACACAGACATAATGATTGACTTCAAATTTCCTTACACTCAGTCTTGCTCATTTCATTTTTTCATTATATTCATTTCTTTGGCTCTTCATTTGTTTTCTGTTGTAAAATGAACTTTCTTCAGCTTTTCACTTGGAGGTAGGATTGCTTATGTATGAGACTGGTAGGTTCCTCAACTTCTCTTTCAACTGCGTTCTCCACACATTCAATTTCATCTTCAGTTTGTTGTGGTCCATCTGCTTCCATACATGACTTCTATTACAGAGGCGTAGTGTGACCATTTTGACAAGTATTCACACGGGTCCATATAAAAACTTGCTACAAAATAATAAAATAGAACGTGATATCAAAAAAGGCTTTTGAAACGTTTTTCTTTAAGCTGGTACAGGAATGTTTACCAGCACAAAAAGAGGTGCCTTTTTTGTGCAGAACTTTGGAGTTTAAAAGCATTGGTTGAAAGAATTGCAGCATGTGAATGTTTGTGTAAATTTTCCACTCTTACTCCTTTGCTGACTTTTTGAGTTTTTAAGTTCCCTTATTTCGATCATGAGCACGGGAAAGGAACAAACAATTGATAGTCAGCATTTAGTTATTTCCAGTTGTTCTGAATATCTCTAAAGTTTGTCATTGAAAAAAACCGTATATCTGTTCTCCAGGAGTAATTTCTTGAAAAAATGATTCTTGTTACCACGTCAAACAGGCACCTTATAGTTTCTTCACCTTACGTGGATTATTGTCGGCACGGTTTGGTCCATGATCTTCCAGTTGAGTGACATTAAAGTAGTCTATGATAGACTTTTTCGACATTTATGGAGAGAGAGAGAAAACTAGAAAAATGAAAAGCTTTTGAATGGGTATCTTTTAAATAGATAAATCTTAAAAGGAATGATAATCAGTCTGGGTCGATTCTTTTCCGATTTTCATGAATACACAATATTTTGTGGGATTGCGTGAAGGAAAGCATTTCAAGAATGTTTCGAATTTTCACATTCCACTACTCAAACTGTTGTATTTTACGTGTAAAAACGACACTGAATAACAGCCAGACAGGCAGCAACAAATCTGCACAATACCAAGTCAAGTTACGACACTGCAGATCGAGGCAGGAATGTTGCATGCAACTCCCTTCTTCGCCTGGAAGAAATGTACAGCGATGAGATCTTTATGAAGAAGCTTGGTGCGCAACTGGAATTTTTGAAAGAGAAGTCACCAACCCTTAAAATTTACATTGACTTTTTTCAACAGAAGGTGCCACACATAACGGAGGTTCACAACAAGATGGAAAGTCTCATGTACTATCTCGAGCAAAACACTCACTTGTCGGAAGACAATCTTGCTTTTTGTTTTCAAAGCAACATCTTCAGTTGTGAGGAGAGGGAGGAACTTGTTCTTCTTGCTAATTCAGCCTTCACTTCTGCCCATGAGAAACTACGAAAGTATGTGGTGGCAGGTGCTCAGCCAGCCTTAGAGTTTCTAAGGCAGGTACGTTTACTTGATCCAAGAAATCTCGTCTTTGCAGACCGCACCATTGATGCAAACGATAGCATTCCTGGATTTGATGCAGTGTCAAGAAACGAATGGGATCTGTATGTAAACCATCTTGGTCCTGAAGCTATCAAAGGCAGCACAGATGGCAACCTAGATCTTGTTCTTTTTTGGAAGTCATGTGCAAGCGACCTTCCCGAGCTCTACAAGATAGCCTCGTGCTATTGCACCGCTACAGCAGGCTCTTACGATGTAGAACGGGCATTTTCTGCATATGATGATATTCTTGATGACAAGCGACGATCCCTAAATCAAAGCACAATCAAAGCATTCCACTTTTTAAATTGGAATCTCCGGGTCCAGTTTTCAGATGAAAAGAAAAAGGATCAACCATCAGCCACAGTGCCCCTCTTGAATAAGCGAATGCCCCAAAGCACCGTAAAACAAACTGCCGAGAAACAGGAACCAAACAGCACTCCAAAGTCACATGTACCAAAGAAAGAAATGAAACAATCCCAGTACACTGAAGACATGGGAAAACCAAAGACACGTGTACCAAAGGAAGAAATGAAACAAGCCCATCACACTGAAAGCATGGGAAAACCAAAGACACATGTACCAAAAGAAGAAATGAAACAAGCTCAGCACACTGAAAGCATGGGAAAACCAAATGACCAAAAAAGGGGAACAAAAAGAAAAATGTCAGATTCCGCCGTTAAAACGAAGAAACCGAAAGAAATGAGCGGGAAGTCTACTATAGCATCTATTAGTAGATTTTGTTTTAGCGGAAGGTCAGCCAGTACTTCCAGTACTTTGTCTGCAACGTGCACAGTGGACTATGGACTAAGCCATGACATAGTAACTGTATTTGCGAGAGAAGATACCTGCGTCTTTCCTCTGTACAAAGAGCCTCTCGTACAATTTTTGCTTGATGACATGACCAGGTTTAAAGGAAGCAACTTAACAGATAAGGAGGACCTACAAGGTCTTATCGGCGGTAATACGACTGATAAGGAGAATTACCTTAATAACTTCATTATTGACGAGTACTTGAAACTCCTTGCAGCTGAAGCTTCTGCACAGGGTTTGAAAGCTGAGACAATTGGATGGGAGCCTTTTGAGAAGGCAGCTGGTCTGAAACCAGCCAGTAACATTTTAAAGGGGAAGGCTCCACTGCTGGAACAAGACATCGTCCTTGTACCTCTCAATCCAGGACAAAGTGAACATTGGTCGCTTTTAGTTGTTAAGCCCAAAGAAAGGGAAATGTTTGTTCTCGACAGCCTAGCAGCATCATTTGTGAAGCCATCCACAAAAAACGCAATCGTGAAGATGTGCGATCTCCTACAAGAAATTGATCCTAAGCTAAAGCCCGAAGAATGGAATTTCTCTACAAACACACCACAGGACATTCCGCAACAATCAAATTGTTATGATTGTGGCGTTTTTGTTTGTGCATACGCTAGATGCCTACTTTTGAAATCGTCCCTGCCTGATGACTTCACAAGCTTTCGAAAGCATATGGTTCTAGAGCTACATGGCGGTAAAATTCAAGGCTTTGACGAGTTACCTACACCGCAAGAGGAAACGTATTATGCAGTTGAATATCAGAAGTCGTTTTACATTGGCCGTGTCCTTCAAAGATCTGATGATTCACATGCCATGTACAAGTTTCTCCACAAATGCAGTTCCCAAATGTTTGACTGGCCAAAGCGCGATGACATCGAAACTTGCCATGATTCGTGTGTCTTCTACGGGCCTGTGTCTGTTGTCGGAAATGCTCCATTTACTAGCCCACAGTTGATGGAGATAGATCAAGTATTTAACTGGCTACGAAAGAGCAGGAAAACAAAGAAATGAAGTAATGATGGAAGCCATTCTTTTAATGGACTTTTCAATCCGTATGTACGAAACGTTGTCTATTGAAAAGCCGAGAACGTTTGTTGTTACTTTTTTTAATTGTGTATTTAAAATGTTTTTGATGCGGTCACTGACAGTATTATTCATTCAGCGCTATTGAAGTTATGGTTACCGTAGGAGTTTTGATGTTTGATGGAAGCTGTCAATTTAGGACTTTAAAATCCGTACGTACGAAATGGTGTGCATTGACAAAGAGAAAACAATTATATTACTTTTTGAATTCTTTATTTTAATGTTCTTTTAATAAGTTATTGTACTTTAAGGGCGTGTAATTTGTCATACTGTACCTCAAAATGAAAGATAAGGCACATATTACCAAAAACTGTAATATCGATTTACAAAAGGGGCGTTTGAAACTGTCTTTTCCGAAGGAAAGAAATTTAATGATCTTGTTAACTACTTTGTCTGTGACTCCTGGTATTAACGACATCCCCACTTTACTGTTAAGTGTACTTTCTTTTGTGAATGTAAAAAAAAATGAAACTTCAAGCCAAGGATTCAGCAAGAAAGTATTATACATTGCTTATTATGGGAAATAAATTTAACTTGAACTACAGTGATCGGGGTTCACTTCGATAATTGGTATTCACAGAACATCTGCGAGAAACGGAACATTTTGGGACTGCTTCCGGTGTCCAGTTTTCCTCGTCCGCTCTAATGCCTGGCTGCTAAGCTTAAAATGTTTCCACGAATTGAAGAACAAAATCATGTCGAATCTTCGCGTTAAGTCTAAGGAAAAACTGCTTTAAATGAAGAAATACCTGTCAAAGAATGGCAGAAAAAGGTCAAGCATGATAACAAGCATTATGTTTAAAAGATGTAATGAACTCAAATTCTTGGTAAGAGCTTGTTGATATTTCCGTTTATCGTTTTTACCGTACTTTGCGTTGAAATGAGCGGCGTAGCCGTGATTGTTTTGTTAGAAGTGAGCGGCGAAGCCGTGATCGTTTTTTTAGAAATGAGCTGCGAAGCCGCGATCGTTTCGTTGGAAATTTCCGCATAATCTGTTGTCTTTTCCGCATAATTGGCACTTTCTTCCGCATAATATTGCCCGAAATTTCCGCATAATTTTTCATTTTTTTCCGCACCCTGTCAGATGGCCTGACTTGATTATGTTTACGCCGAACTGTGCCCGTTTATTCTATTACTGGCCAGTGCATTCTATGTTTAACAGACAAGTTCGCTGCTTTTTCATGAAATTGTGTTATAGCAAAAGCATATGTTACAAGCAAGATAGCCAGCTGTTCACGAGAGACAGCACTGATTTACAAAACAAGATGAATTGCAGCACAGTCATCGTCTATTCTCCTACAAGGTGAATCTGTGTCTACTGATCTTAACTTTTTCAAGATGTTCACACTAGAAGGCTGACATGCATTTGTTTTCAAGCACTCAGGATTCAAGAACTTTCATCTACTTTGGACATTTAACATTGAACTCTTGATTAATACTAATGGTAGTTTTATAGTCGTTTTGATATTTCGCATTATTTTCTCAGTACTTTTTCAAATTTTCCTTAGTGTTCTTCCGCTAGTTACGTTTGTTCCTTACTTTTGCATTCATATACGTCCAATTGTATCGAGGACGATGCTTCTTCTAAGGAGGGAGGAATGTTGTGAAGTATTTTGTAGGTTATTTTAAGTTTATTTCGTGTTTGTGCTTGACGTTTCCCTCGTGACTAGAGTCTTGTTATGATCAGTGTATAGATCAAGGTTAATCCATATATGTGTTAACAGGTTTTTGAGTGTTATTACCTTTTTAATGGGTTTGTCGACCGAAGTGTCATCAAGCTTGGGGTTTAATTAAGTTTGATTGTCAGTTTTTAAGTGGGTACGTTTTGGAACCATTACTGACCTTGATCGTTACCTACATCAGAGTTCCTGTTTTGGTTCAAGGTAGAGTCTCGTGGGTTTAGCTGACACGCTTTCATTGGCTTTTTTATGGGTTTGTCTATTCCACTTTGGTTATCAACAGGAAATTCGTTTAAGTCACTCGGAAAAGCATTTGTAACTCTCATGGCCAGCAAGCCTAGACGCACCTGCGTTTTACTCATATAAGTTGCCAGTGTTTAGCACGGGTAAGAGAGAAAGTAGTTGAGAGTAGTTACATTTGAGCTGCTGTAAAGATTAAAGAACAACAAGATGTAAACTCAGATACCTGGTACCTCTACGCTCAGTGAGCGAGTTGCTCGTAAACCCCTTACAATATAGAGACCTTACAGGCCCAGAGAAACTGAAAGTGTTTGAAAATATACAAATATTTAGCACTTCTACCTAAAGCTAATAGCACAGTTAGTGATAAAATTCAAAAACTCTGGGATGATTTCATGGATATGATTGGAGACTTAAAGCTTAATTAAATCCCCTCTGATGTTGAAATTATACAATTTAAAAATACAATTAAGACCAGGTTTGATCATTTCCGTAAACAATATCAAACTAAGGATGTCACACCATATATATATATATGCCCTTCATGCCCACGTTCCTGAAATTCTTAAATTATACAAAAAGATTGCTTATTATACCCAGCAAGGAATGGAAAAGTACAATGACAGGGCATCCAAGAACTATTTTCGATCAAAAAACCACAGACGAGTTACCGCCCTTACACAAGTATTTCTCAAGAAACAGAGGATTCAGTATCTAGAGGCAGCTGGATACATGAGAGGAAAAAACTAGCTACACATGCTCCAATTGTGGTAACATAGGTCACACAATTAAGACATGTACCTCCAACTGCCTGAATTGTGAGCATCCTACATTTTGTTCACATCTTGCCAAAATTAATGGGAAGTTGACACCCAAATGTAAGAACCCAAATCACTAACACAGAGGCTTTTGTTAGATTCAAGCACAATTCTTCCTGGGTTCCTGACAGAGGAGATTTCAATTTGATCCACTTTTTGCCATAAGTGAATATATTCTATGCAGGCTCTTGCGGTATAACAGAGCTGGAGAAAAAGTTCAGAAAGGATTTTGAGCTTAAGACTAACATCCAACAGTAATTTGTGACATAAAACATTGAAGCAATACGGTTGCTGTTCAAATAATTGAAATCTGCTCTGAAGTAATTACCAGGGCCCAGCCGAAGGCTGGCACCTGTCTTAAAATGCAGACAGTTTCTGTCGTTTTTTCAACGTTACAATGTTAGTGATATATTGCTGGCTCATTGAAATCTTAACCGCCATTTTGAAAAGCACGAGGCATGGAGGACAGTCAAGAGAAAAATTATAGCTTTTTTGGGAACGACACGTTCCCCAACCTTTACGATGCACTAGTTTATGAGCAAAAATTTAAGAGTGAATATTTGGAGAGACAAATTTACGAGCGATCACTTAAGAGTGAACCTTCCATCGTGAAACTTCGAGAATAAAAGCAACTTATCAAAGCAATCTACATTGAGTGAACCTTCCATCGTGAAACTTATCGAGAATCAAAGCGAACACTTATCAAAGCTAACTTTATATCATCTTAAAAAACGTGCTTCAAGGCGATCTAGACGTGCTCGTGAACCAAGCAGAATTCTACCAAAGTCTTCAAAGCTCCATCGCTATGTTAAGAAGGTAACAAAAGTTTATCATGCACGATATAAATGTAATAACAAATGCGCTCCAAAGATAATTAACTTAAATAAAATGGCTATACCCAAGAAAGCTTAGTTGTTCTTTCTTTAGCAGACATTATCACAGGATAATGAAAAAATGTAAAGCACGTTAATAGTTATCATTGTTTTCTTGCAATTGTGTGAGTCATATGACCAATTATGTGAATTTCAAACTAAGTAAAGATGCTGAGAAGAATGCCAGGACCTACTCAATACAACACTGATCATCATGAAGTAATAATTAGACCTTTTATGCAAAATCACAGCTCAACAATGCAGTTGATCTCTCCTATTTCCTCTGAGAATTTGATGCAGTCAAGATTAGCTGAACTTGGTTTACAATCAATAGATGTTGATGGTGCAGGTGATTTTTTCTTTAGATCTATATCACATCAATTATATGGCAATAGCAACTATCATATGCATATACGTATTGCTGGGGTTCAATTTATGAGAGACAACCCAGAGAGATTTATTGAGAGCAATATCGAAAATTCATGACTAAAATATCTGAATAATATGTGTATTCCATATACATGGGCTGATGCACTTATCATTCAAGCAGTTGCAGATGCATTAAATGTTACTCTACAAATAAAAGAATCTAATCAATGCTTTGCACCACTTACTACTGTTTGCCCAGTTCAGGAAAGAAATACTTCCTCTACAATTACTATAGATCATATTGATGAATGCCACTATATATCAACCACTGCCTTACAATCAAATGCCTCCATTTCAATGTGCAGTGAATTAACAAATGATACTCAGTCATCAATAAATAAGCATTTTATTATGTCCATATATGCAGTTTGTTTTTCTGTCATCAAATCATGCGCTTCCTAGGATTCTTCGACTCTACAGGCTCTCCATGAACCAGCATGTTTGTTTTATGAGAAGTGTAATGCAGACCGTGTAGGCAAAATTGTGATAATTCTGTAACAAACTTCTTTGCAAACTTTGTCATTACCATTCCACCAAAAAATTGTCAGGGATTTTTGCTTTTTCACTCAAACTTAAAAATAAATAAAAACCTTATACAGATCACACCTAACGACATCACAGTGTAAAAACACTACTATAACACAGACCTTTGGCTGTCATAACACTGAACAAACTTACAACAACATCCTCCTTTCTCATGCATTTTGTTGCTTTTCTTCTGCATGAGTTAATTCAGACTAAGTACTAGCCTCCACAGAGGAGGGGGGAGGGGTGTGAGAGGTAAACTATATCTATACAATCCCGTGTCACACTGGCCCCCGGTAAGTTTCACGTAGTGGTTCTAGTTTACCTGTAGGTGTCATTTCATGTCCATAAACCATATACTCGAATTATTTTATCAATGGCAATGTGAACAATGCTGAATACTTTTATATTGATTCATGTACATGTAATAGATTACAAACAATTTGCTAAAATACGCAAGCAATTAAAATGTTTCACTGAGGTATTTTCTTGTTGCTATCTCCTCGAACGAAGTTAAACACTAACATAAATGAGTTTTCTATCTAAGACTTGATATATTTTCCTCCCATATATTTAAACTCCACAACTGAGTTCCTCTTGGACAACCAGTATCTCACTGTCCCGTTCATTACATAAGCGAAATCACCATTATCATAGAATATTCTCTCATTCCATTTTAGACCCAACAATTCATCTAAATCATGATTATCTGTTATAACATACACCTCTTTCCATCTAAATTGTACTTTACTCAATCATTTGCCCATTTATCGCAATTGTTCATCAAATTTTTTTATTTTATCTCATGTCTTCTGTAATTTTTTAATACTTTTTTACAATAACGTTTTAGATAATTTTATTACTTATTTAATTCTCTAAATCTATTTATGATGTAATAATAGGTGGCTTATTTTTTAAGGAGTCTTGTACTCTGTTTTATAGCCTACCTCAGATTGAGCGATTGACTGATTTAATTGTCATTGTAATTGTGAACGTGAAGCTTGATTAAATGAAATTAAATTACCAACTTCCATCAATGGGAGGGGAACAATATTTGTACTGCCACCTTTTTTGTTCCATTACTGCAGCTGGGAAGGACATACTAGCTGTGGCTTTTTGTTTTCTTCTTTTAGTAAGATCTTTGTTTTGCCTTGTAAAGGCTACATTTAGAGACCTTCAGCATAAGTGCTGATACATGATTACAAAACCCCACTTTTTCAGCAACAGTACAGCTCCTGAGGATACAGATTGATAATTTTAACTGATGCAGTGGGTTGTTTTTTTTTTCTGTAGCTGTGGCAACACTTCGCCTTGAAACAGAAAGATTTATCGTCCCTTGTTGCAATAATTTCATGAAGATATTCATCTTCAAGAAATGTCTTAGCTTTTCGAAGTGCAGTTGGAACAG